TTTTTTTTTTATTTTAATAGATTTATGTACCCATGTGACTTTCGTCGGTAATTTGCAAATTGAAAATTCCCACATTGCATTGCCAATTCAAATTTCAAGCACCATTCTCCTCGGTAATTAGCCAACCTACTCCACCTAGTAAGCCACTGTTCAAAATAGGTACAGACATGATTCTTGTTGATAACTAGCCCACCATCCCACCTACCAAGACACTGTTTATTGTACTTGGAGACATGATCTTCGTCGGTGAATTACTGACGTGAGTTACTAGAAAAGAACTTCGGTAGTACTGTTTTGGGACAACTTTGAACACATGTTTTTTGTCGATAACTTGGAGTTATCTTATCGACATAAATTTTATCCACATCAGTAAATGAATTATCGAGGCCACTTTCACCAAGGACCCAATTACCGACATGATTCTTATCGAAAAATTGCTTTACCGACGTGATTTCCTTTCTTTCCGACATGATTTCACATCGGGAAATTTATGAATTCTAGTAGTGAAAACTCTATTTTTAGCCTCTCACCTTACTAGATTTGTAGGTTTTAGTTCCTCACCTATTAAAATTAAAGAAAAATAGCTCTTATTTTATGTTGACTATTAACTCTATTAGCTGAAAGTAAATTTTTATCAATTAATAGTCAACTAATAGCTAATTAAAAAAATTAACGAAATATTATAAAGTTAGTTTTGTTAACTCTATTAACTGAAAAAAGGTTTTTAACAGCTAATAGTCAACTAACAATCAGTTAATAGAGTTAACAAAACTAACAAAATGTTACAAAAGGTATTTTTCACTAGTTTTTTTTTTTTTTTTTTTGAACGCAATGAGAAAAGCGAAATAGTGAGTTACCAAATTTTCTTGATATATTTATTTGTGATGTGTGTGATTGTTGCCAATGAGAAATTGATTGCTTTTGTCTTCTGTTTATTTCTCAAGAAATTGCAAGCAAACAAAATATATAGGCATTTTAGAAGAGTATAAAGCTACGTATTATTGATATTTGTTTTGTTGCTTTTTTTTTTTTTTTCTAATTTTTCCTTATTGGCAGCTGAGAAGCAGTTTAAGAAATCTAAATTTTTATTTTTGGTTGAAAATTTTGATTCAAGAACGTTCTTTTAGCAAAGAATGACTTACAGGACAACCACCATTATCGAAAAGAAAGCATCTTCCAGCAACAAGAGAAGGGGATCAGCGCACTATAACTCCTTTGGGGGCTAGCAATGAGGTGGGTTGGTATTGCATGTAGATGTCTTATAAACGGGAAGCTAGGTTATTAAAACACTACAAGAAAAATGGTTTTTAGTGACAAAAATTTGTAATGAATTTTGAAATCATCATTATAACTTATCACAATTGTGAAAAATCTAAAAAATTAGTCACATATGCATATATATTTAATGATGAACAAAAAAAATTTATCATAAAAAATATATTTCGTCACCAAAAAATGTTCATAGAGATAAAATAAGTTTTTGTCGATAAAAATCATCATTATAATGCATTACAATTATGACAGAATTCTAATATTGGTCACATATACCTTATACATTCAATGATGACCAAATAATTCATCACTAAAAAATTTATTTCGTCATTAAAAATTATCAATTTTCTCCAATCAATACATCTCACATCAATAAAAAACACAGTAGAATAAGGTTTTACACTATAAATATATCTAATATCGATAAGAAATATTTAAGAAAATAAATTTTTGCACTGTAAAACATGTGAAACTCAATAAAACTTGAAATTATTTTGGGTCTGATTAATTTTAATCAAAATTGATTAGTATTGAAATAATAATATTTTTTATTAAACTTTTGTGATAAATTTATATATTATTTTTTTGTGATAAAATTTTTGCTAAAATATTTGTGTTGTAATTATATAAATATCTTTTTTATTTAATATCAATTTTAATAATTAATGACTAAATTTTTCATCACAATTACATTTGTGACGAATATTTTTTTGTGATAAATAAAATTGTTATAAATAACTTGTTAACAATGTCAATATTTTCTATCATTATAAGATTATTTTTTGTGACAAGTGCTTAATTTATCACTAAGAGCATTAGTGATAAGAGTTTTACTAACGGTTTAAATTTAATCACTAATAATAATTTGTGACGAAATATAAAAATTTAATGATCAATAATGTAATCACTAAATGTGAATTTTCTTGTAGTGAAACTACTATTTGATAGCCATCTTTGGTTATTATTGCAGTTTGGAAAACTGTGCTTAAAACTACTATGTGCTTGTTAAGTTCCATGTTTAAGACATTTCAAGAATTTTTATTTTTTGTGAAAGTTGAGATGTGATTCAGAGTTATTTTTTAATAATAACAATAAGGTATGATTCAAATTTTTACTGTGTTATATTCATTTCTCTACAAATCCCTAATAATTGTAGCCATGACAAAATATTCAAAGTTGGGCCAAACACTACACCCCGCAGAGCAGGGTGGTCTAATTAGTAAATTTAAAAATATGGTCATACACATAAATATAAAAATTAGTTAAATTAGTTATATTTATATTATATTTTAATAATTAAATCGAAATAAATGTCAAAAAAATATTAAATTAATTATGTTTCAATCAGTTTTCTTCATAAAAATTCTAAAATTCTAACCATATAATTTATAACATAATTGAGAAGATAAAACTAGCACTTACATGTGTGTGTGTATATATATATAATTCATAGGAAATAAATGAAAGACATACTTTTAGAAAGGTATTCTTCTCTCTCTCTTTCTCTTTTTTTCATTTTTCTTGGCACAGTAGAAATTGCAAGTTTGTTCGAGTTATCCACCATAACAATAATAATAATTCTAAATTTTTTACTATATTACAGATAGTTGTAACTAAAACCTGTAGAAATTAGAAGAAGCAAATTGCCAATTTGAGTAGGAAAATATGCATCCTAAATAAGACTTGCAAAATACCCCCTTTCCCGACAATTGCCCATGTTCAAAAGAAAATAGCATTTGTTTTTCTTCTTCATACACAAAGGCAATGCAGTAGAAACTAAATCAGAGAAACCATCCATTATCTAATCAAAGGTCTTGGAATTTATGGTAAAGTAAAATAAAAAAATGACAGACTCGCTTGAATATATCAGCGTAGCATTAGATGAAAATTGAAAAAAGTTACCATAAATTAGGGATGTCATGGAGCAACCAAATTGTAATTTAGGAAGCAGACGTAGAAAAGAAAAGGTCAAAGCATGGAATTCTATGGGAATTTGATATTCTTTTTGAATTGTAATACTATTGGCAAAATGAATAACAATAAAAAACATAAACATTCCAATTGTAAGAAAATTTTAAAAGAAAATTGATAATAATTAATTAAAAGGCTGAAAAGATGTTAGAGGTGAATTTGGAAAACGAAAGAAATGACAAAATCAGAATGATGAAATGAATAGAACATTAACAAAACAAATGAACTAAAGTTGCAACACGAAATCTACTGTTATTGGGTATTTTTTAGGTGTTTTGGTGGGCTTAAATTTTTAGTTGCTTTAAAGAATGAGTATGTCTAAGGCCCGGTTCTTTAAATCTTCTTATAACTTGAACTTTGTGCCCTCTTTCCTTTCTTTTTGGGCATTTGGCCCCCATTTTTGCGGTTCTTTATCCTTGAATCTGAATTTGGGGTCTTTTTCCTGGCTTAATTTGATAAATCATCTAATAATTATTAATATTTTGTTGTTTTGGTTTAGAATCTTTATTTTTTTTTTAAATTAAATCATTTATTAATTTTTAAAATTGTATCAATTTTGTCTATACCTAAAAGAATTACATTAGTTAGATCGACAAAAAATCTATATCATTGCTTATGTAGCATTGCATAATTTACCACATAAATAACAAGTGGCCTAAAAGTAGAGGAAAAATTCTT